CCCCAAAACCCCAAAACCCCAAAACCCCATGATCTGAAATTTGATAGAAGTTAAGTCGTTATATAAGATGGTTTGAATTATAAATTTTATTTGTTAATTAAGCTTCACTATTTGTTTTACATTAATGGAATTCATTAATAGCTTTGTTGCTTTTCTTGTAGATATTGTAAGAATTTACACACTTAATATAATCATATAAAGGGATTACTGAGTGAAATAGATGACTCTAAAGAGACTTACCTCAATAAATTACTTTATTCAGAAGAAATTGATGTCAGTGAATTTGACCAGAGGTCTGTAATTTGCTTAACGCAATATCTTGAAAATATTACCATCGATTAAAATTAATGTAAATTCATTAAATTACATCATCATCATTTAGAGATCTCTTAAAGATTATTTGAATCATGGCAAAAGAGACAAAATGAGATGATAACTCAAAAGTTAGCTAGATTATTCGCTCAAGGAGAATAGAAACTAAAATACACAATTAGAGAATCATTAGGTCAATGGAAAACTAACTCTCTAATCTTAAAAATGGGGGAATAGATTTAGTAGTTAAAATCTATGATAGACTAAACAAGAAATGAATTAATGATAGAAAAAGAGGAATCTTTGTAATATCAAATGGTAATCTAAATAATTGGTTCTTTATTACTATTTTAGAAACTCTAGAATAGAAACTTGATGCAGAGAGGTAGTAATTTCAACAATAAAATGGATTAATCTATAAAGTCTTTGAATTTAACGAAGATCTCTGAAACACCAAAATAAGGTGGTAGTATGTCTGGGAATAATTCTTACAGACCTTAGAAGGGAGTTGCAATGTAGTAATAATTGATTCCTAAGGATCTTAATGACAGCTTCAATTAAGCTAATGCAGAAGCTAATAGCAACTCTAACATGTCTAAAACTGAATTTGACCCTTAACATATGACAATAAATAACGAAAGACAAAGCAGTATGTACTTTTCTCAAAATATCAACAACCGTGGACATGAATCATAAATGAGTTAGCAGACTCAGAAACAATTAATGCATAAGGAAGTTATTGAGGAGTAGGATGATGAATATAATCTGTATACATCTTAATGTAAGCATGATAGCAGCTCTACTCCTTAACCTGAAAGCTCTTATAATTAGGAAAAATCTCTGGTTTATGAAATTCAATCAAAATGCTAGGATGAGAGGCTTAGAATTATTTTAGAAAAATTCATTCAAGACAAATATCAGCAAGACATACCTGATAAACTTACTTCGACATAATAAAAAGAATTGCATCAAATTGTAGCTTATATAAACTAAGTCCATAGTTAAACCAATGAATGTACTTTCCATCCAACTATCAATCCCAAGACAAAGTAGATTTTAGATAAAAAAGCAGAGCAATAGCAACAGTAATTATAACTAGAGCAATCTTAAAAGATTTATTAGCAAGATCTCCAACCTTTATCCTAAACTTAATCATAATAATAACTATCCCTTTCAACAATGAAGAATGCAAACTTGCATGAAAGATTGCATAAAGAAGGTGAACTAAAGAAGATGAATATGAATAGATATCAAGAAGTAAGATCATTGAATATGATGGCGGAATGTACCTTTTCTCCCAAAACAAACTCACCTGCCTCATGTGAGAAAACCAAGTCTCCTTCACTTTCAATAAATAGACTTCATTATCAAGAGATCTAAATAAGGAATGATAAATAATCAAAGAAAGAGGCTGAGAAAATTGATAAGTTTAAGCAGGATTATACTTTCAAACCAGAAAGAACTAAGACAAAGAAGCTTGACTCATTCCTTGTAAAGTAAAACAAAGAAAATGAGGATAGATATGAAAGACTTTATCGTGGCTATGTAGAAAAAGCAGATAGATTAGAGCATAAAAGGTAAATCTAAGATGAACTTGAAAAATCACAGATGAATAGAGTATCAAGATCAAAGTCAATAAAGCGAAGATAAAATGAACTTTAAACCATTTCAAACAATTTAACTAGCTTTAATCCTTAGCAAACTTAATAGATTATTAGAGGGCATATGCATAATAAGAGTACCAGTGGATTCATGTCTCCAGCGAATCAGTACTATTAATAACAATAAAAGGCAAATCCAACATTATCATCAGCAAATAGCTTTCAAGTATTATCTCATGTCCCAAGTGCAAACTAAGACACCTTCAGTAGACTCTATCAAAATGCTCAAATTACAAAGAAGAAAAAAGAAAAACTTAGACATACAATTGATTAAGAACTTGGCATTAGCTTTTCACCGAAGATATTCAAATCTCCCAGCAAGCTAAAGATGCCTAGTCCTTAATCTAGTGTTATAGAAAGAAATGAAGAATTCTTGCGCAATAAAATTATGAAGATTTAGATCAAGGAAGAGCAGAAATATTAAAACTGCACATTTGAACCAAAACTTGTTTCAAAGAGAAATCATAAAAATAATCTATAAAGCAATAATATTCATAGCATCACTAGCTCAAACAATACTTCGTAAGTTGGAGATAGACTATACTAGAGTGCTATTTAAATTGAGGAAAAAAAGAATAAAAAGAGATTGGAATTAGAATAGAAGATGAAGTAGTAGTATTTAAAAATTAGATAGAGTGCACATATTCATTGAGTGATAATAAAATTTGTGAAATAATGATGTGAAAATATGTTTAATATGTAAATTATTAACCCCTTGATTGTGATGCATTTATAATAGTAAAATAAAAGATCTCATGTATTTAATTCGTCAAATCTATGACTTATACATCTATTAATCCTCAATACTATTCTACAAGTTAATCTTTATTCTCTCCATATTATCTCTTGTCAAAATAATATTCTCATTTATCATGTCTGTGCTTGATTCGGAGGTGAATTTCGAAAGTTTTTACTTCTGTAATAGTGTTATCAAGCCAGCATATCTAGCTGTAGATAGATTTATGAGTTCAAGTTGATCTTCACAAAAATCTTAAAATTACTTCTCTACCATTAGTTCTTTCTTAATAATATTTATAAATAAATTAAGCATATGGAAAAAATAAACGAGAAATAATTCAGAGAAAAAATCACAATTTAAATTGTCAATGAATGTTTTGAAGATTGTGTGAAATAATTTGACTAACATAAAATTAGCTATAACGAATAGCTTTGCTTGAAAAATTGTACTTTAAGGTACGTTGAAATATTCGAATAAGTTGAGGAGGTCCAATTTTTTTACCAATCAAGGTTGGGATAGATGCCTTTCTGAAATATTACTTTGGACAAGACTGTCAACAGTCTGTTGCATTTTAAGATTAATATTTTGTTAATATTTTAAGTTAAATTTAAAATTGAAAATAAGATCATTTCAAATATGAATAAGTCTTAGCTGCATCACACAATCGATACTCAAGCTTATTAAAATAAGAATAATTCCACTCTTATGAACCAGACAACTTATGATCACACCATTGAAAAGGAGTATATGTCCAGCATATCAGATGCATTTTAGAGAGCAGAGGAAGAAACAAGAAAAGCAGAATAAATGCTTGCTAAATGGCGAAAAGATCACTCAAAAACTATTCAAAATATTGAACAAAGAAGCACTCAGAGAAACAATAACAATAAGAGTTCTTAAAGCAATTATTCTCAGAATGAAAGCAGATAAAGAAGTGGAAGAGAGACGATTGAAAACAATGATCCGCATACATAGAGCAAGAGTTTCGATAAAAAATTGGTCCCCAAATTTCATAATATGAGTATTACAACACAAAATGAAAGTAGCATTGAGAATATAAATACATAGAATCAGCAAATTGATATGATAAACAATATATACTATAAGGGGAAAAATAAAGTTAATTAATCTCATGTAATAAAAATTGAAGAGAATACTCCCTAGAATCAGACTTAGATCAATAGGAATAATAGTTTTTAGGATAAGAAGCCAAGGATATTTTAGAACTAATATCTGTAATAAACTTTAGTAGGTTAACCAATTGATAATCATCAAGAAAATAAGAATTATTATCTCTAATAATAGCCATCTCGGTATCCATAAAGGAATTTAGATCCAGAAATGCTTGAGGAGATATCAAACACATATAATTCATTTGACAAGAGACATTTGAATGAGAATTCAAGTGTGACTCTAGGATAAGTTAATCATTCTACGAGATATCAAAATACCACTACTGAAAATGAATAACTTCAAAATTAGTATAATTACTTCAGCACTGTAACTTCTTAAAGTATCCCATAAAACTAGCTAAAGAATATAAATCGATCAATTAGTCAAGAGTATCATATGAATGATGAAAATAAAAACATCTCGAACTTAATAAAACCAATGATGATATAAAACACCTCATAGAATACTATTCAAGACTTCATCAACATCGAAAAAGAATCTGAAATCATTAAGCTAGATAAATATTATAAGCAACTATTGAAATCAGAAAAAGATGAGTTTTAAAGACAACTATAAAAGGCTAAAGAACAAGCCAAAAAAGAAGCTGAGAAGAAGCTGAAATCTTAGCTGAACGATATGAAAGATAAATTAGAGGAGCATGAAACTTTAGAAATTTAACTATCAAAGTTGAAGATAGCGAATGACAAGCTTAGTAAAGACTATGAAAGCACTAAGAAAAAGAATAAGAAACTTGATAGCAAGAATCTCAGACTCGAGGAACAAATTAAAACGCTCTAGAAAAAATTAGATGACTTATGGGAAAGGTAGAATCTAGAGAAAGAAAACATTAAATTAATTTCAAAGTACGAGGTAGAGTCAGAATCTAGAAAGACTATTAATGAATTGACATTGAAATTGATAGATTTAGAAAAATAATTAAGAGAAAAGGATCAAGAAAATTAGTTTCACATGAATAAAAATGAGGAATTATAAAGAACCATTGATACTGAGATAAAGTATAATCAACTAATGAATAAATCCCAGGATAAGGTCTATGAATGCGAAATCTAGGTTCTCAAATAAGAAAACACTCAATTGAGAGATCAGTTACAGCTACTGGAGATGGAAAGTAATGATATCAAACAAAATGGTCATGATGTTAATTAAAAATATGAGTCTTTAAAGAGAAAATTTGCTATTGTTGTAAAAGAAAAAGAGATGATTGAACAAAACAGACTGATGGAGACAGCTCAATTCAAATAGAGCACATCTTAACATTAATCAAGATCTGCAAACTTTGAGTGCGATAAATGTGATAAATGGAGATATAAAGCTTAGGAACTTACTGAAAAATACTTCATGATGCTTAAAAACATGAAAATTGAGCTTGACCAGCTAAGATAAGATAACCGTTCAATCATCACCAATGGACAGAGAGATATCCACTCTAATATCATTTAATATCTGAAGGAACATCTAGACCAGATGAAGGCAAAATCTAAATCTAAAGACGAAATAGCCAAAAGAAGTTCAAGGTCCTTAACCCCTAAATATACACCGACCAGTAATTAAAGAAGAGATACCTCAAATAATAAAGTAAATAAAAATCGAACTTAAATACTACCTAATTAACAACCAGAGTAACAGACTATTCAATATGAAATAAATTCTGACAAAAATAGTTTCAACAGGGCCAAAGTTTCTCAATCTTAGATAATTAGTAGTGAGAGAGATATAGTATCGTAGCATGTAAAGGATGATTATGATCCAAATTACAGTGGGCTACACTTACTAAAGAAAAACTCATCTTTTAATGGTTAAATAGGCCAACATAATCACTAGCTTCATAGGACAATAGCAAAAACTAAAAAGAAAAAGCTTAATGATAGAGATCTTGTAAAAGTCAAAAAATACAGATCAAAGAGCCAGCAGAACAAGAAAGAGAAGAAGATAAAAATAAAGTCAAAGAACCCAATAAGAGTGCAAGTTACAATCAAGCCACCCTAGGTTAATAATCTGAGTGGGGGTTTTGCGATGACAGGAGGAAGCAGCAAAATGATTTCATTGAGAAATAAATTAAATAAATTTTGAACGATATAAATTAAGTTAATTTTGTTTATAAAATATTTAAGGGTATGGGAAAGAAAAATGAAGTATAGCCAATGCAGGACAAATAAAAGATAGATGCTCTTGGGCATAATGGAAGCAGTGATTAGTTGCCAACAAACTTCTTGTATGAAACAGACCAGCATAACTATAGTTCCCCAGACATAGGCCCTATGTAGTCTAAGCAGCAAGTAAATTTCTCTGGATTGAAATCTACTCATATCGGGCAAGCTGATGGATCTACTGAGAACGCTAATTTCATCGATGATGAGGAAAGGATCAATAGGAGGAATGTTGAAGGACCTAGTAAAAAGCAAAGGCTACAAAATCAGTAGGCATTTACTGAAGTTGTTTCTCATAATGGGATACAGAGGTAAATTACAACCTAGAATTTAGATGGTAAAGTTTTATAAGTTTGTTCATATTCAAATTTAGAGTAAATTGGAAAGAATGAATAATAACAGAAATTACAAGGGTTGTCTGTTGCCCTTGATTCGATCAGAACTGGAGAAAATTCTGTTATCTAGCAGTAAGAAGCAGAAGAGTCAAAATTTAAGAAAAAATGAGGATCTAATAAGTAACCACGCTAGACGAATCATCTTAGTTTAGAAATTCCAAACTCAAATAAATAGAACCCAACAATATCATTCAATAATGATTCTAATGCAACCCTAAGCCCTTCAAGAGTGCCTAGTTCAAGACGAACTTCTAAGAGAAGAAGAGACTAATTTGGTACTAGAATAGCTCGAGGATCAAAGCGTCACAAGGTGTCTTTTATTGACCAGATCCATAAGCATAATCTTAACGAAGTTTTTATAGTAGAGAATTACAAAAAATTTAATAAAAACTCGCAGGATGATGACGACGAGACTAGTTGCAATTGTTGCATATTTTGATCTTATTAAATATTTAAGTATAAGCATTAATCTTTCCAAAGTAATAAACTAAATTGCTGATAATTAGCGTTTAAGGGGTTTTGGGGTTTTGGGGTTTTGGGG